TCCTCAGTCTTCACAGTCTCCTCCATCCTTAGTCTTCACAGTCCCCCCTATGCTCAGTTCTCACAGTCCCCTCCCATATCCACACAGTCCCCTCCCACATCCACAGTCTTCACCATCCCCTCCAACATCCTCAGTCTTCACCATCCCCTGCCATATCTTCAGTCTTCCATCCTTGGTCTGCACAGCCCCCATCATCAGGCTTCACAACCCCCCCATCATCCTCAGCCAGCACAGTTCCCCCATCCTCAGGCTTCACGGTTCCCCCATCCTCAGGCTCCTCTGCACAGCTCCCCCCCTTATTTGTACGCTTCACAGCCACCCAATTCTCAGGCTTCACAATATTCACAGACCCCCATCCTCAGGCTTCACAGCCCCCCTCATCCTCAGTCTGCAGTCCCTCTCTTCATCCTCAATCTTCACTGTATCCCCCATCTTCAGGCTTCTCGGCCTCCCATCCTCAGGCTGCACAGTTTCTCCTCATGCTCAGGCTTCACAGTCTCTCCCCATGCTAAGGCTGCACAATCCCTCCCCATCTTCAGGCTTCACAATCACCCCATCCTCAATCTTCACAGCCCCCATCCTCAGTCTTCAATGTCCCCCATCCTCAGGCTTCACAGCCCTCCATTCTAAGTCTTCACAGTCCCCCATCCTCAGGCTTCACAGCCCCCCAATCTCAGGCTTCACAGTCCTCCTCATCCTCAGACTGCACAGCCCCCCATCCTCAAGCTGCAAAGTCCCTCCCAATCCTCAGTCTTCACAGTCACCCTATCCTCCATCTTCACAGCCCCCCATCCTCAGTCTTCATAGTACCTCCCATTCTTAGGCTTTACAGTCCTTCCCCCCATCCTTAGCCTGCACAGCCCCCCTATCCTTAGCCTGCACAGCCCAGTCCCTCCTCAGGTTTCACAGTCCCCCTCAGTCTTCCTAGCTCCCTTCCCCATCCTTAATCTTCCCAGCTCCCCCCATCCTCAGTCTTCCCAGCCCCTCTCCCCTTCTTCAGTTTTCCCAGCTGTCCCCCCATCCTTAGTCTAGTCTTCCAAGCTCCCTCCCCATCCTCAGTCTTCACAGTTCTCCTCTATCCTCAGTCTGCATAGTCCTTCTAGTCCTCAGGCTGCACAGCCCCCTAGCCTCAGGTTTCACAGTCCCCCGATTCTCAGGCTGCACAGTCCCTACCTATCCTCAGTCTGCGCAGTCCCTCTCCCTATTCTCAGTCTTCACAGTACCATCCATCCTCAGTCTGCACAGTCCAGCCCCTCCTCAGGTTTCACAGCCCCCTCATCATTAGCTTTCACAGTACCCCCTCAGTCTTCCCAGTCTTCCCAGCTCCCCCCTCCTCACATCCCCAGTCTCCCCAGCTCCACCAATCTTCAGTCTTCCCAGCTCCCCCCATCCTCAGTCTTCACAGTCTCATTCAGCTCATCTGCACAGCCCCCCCCCCCCTCAGTGCCCCTCCCCCTCCAGAGAAGCAATACCAGCCCCCAGCTCTCCAGCCACTCTTAGCCCCATAACTGTTTGTTATTTTAAAAAAAGTTTGTGTTTGCAGTCACATGAATAAATAGGTGCTGATGATCATAATTCATTTTTTTCCAGTTCATGGATTACTTCTATATCCTCTCCTCCCTCCATTTTAAGAATAAGGGGAGGGATCAATATTGTGAACAGTAGTGTGTTTACATTTGTGATTGCTGTGATCACAGTGATCACATGGTACAGAGTCAATTGGACTGTACACTGGGGGTATCGAAACTGGAGCAGACAGAATCTGGAGCTTTTGAGAATGACAACCAATAGGCTTCTGCCTTCAACATGTTCAGTTAAGCTTTGAAAATAAAATACAGAATCGGATTGGTTGCCATGCACAGCTACTTCAGATTCTGGCTGCTCCAGGTTTGATAAATTCCCCTCATTGTATCTGTGAAGTGCTTTGCTTCACAGCCATTATTGGTGCAACAGCTGCCCAGGGGTGATTTTTTCAACAGTGTTTATCAATGGTGCTGGAGAAAAAACAAACCTCCACTTGCTGTTCATAAGTGTATGGTGGCTACAGGTGGGTTCCACATTTTCTTTTTACACTATTGTATTTTATTGAGAAACAAATTAAATGGCCTTGGTAACTAATGTCTTCAGGTAGAACTATGACTGAAGCAAAAAAATGACAATCTATGATGTGGTCTGTCAATAGTAATAACATAACATATATTGTTTATCTAAGACCCCTGTAACATAGTTTCCTGTGTTTTGATCCTGCCAGTATATACATTGATTTGTGTACACCCGTATACACAATTTATTAAACAATGATAAAAATGAATACACTCACAAATAGGGTGCATTATCCTTTTATAAATTGTGTATACGGGTACACACTATGTCAGTATTTTTTCCAAACATATTCCCATGATTTATCTGCACCGGAGGCTCTGATTCCTATAAAATGAAGGATATCCCCGTAACCCAGAGACAACAGGGTTAAAGGCACTAGACCGAAATTAAGTAGGTCTTTCCATCAGGTAAGAGGAATTGGTGTTGGTACTTCACAAGTGGTGACTCTATTTATCATTACTTCATACACTGAATATAAGGGACTTATCTGGATGGAATTTGATAAGGATGTGACTTTGATTTTATCTCTTTAGTTCTGATAGGAGGACTTTATGTATGGACATTTGATTCTATTATGATTTCATTCATACAAAGGGATACATTACCTTTCACTAGTGTGAGGTCTTCGACAGGAATCTTTTTGTCCTGCAACATTGTAGCTCTGTCCTGATAAGAATACTGTTTATTATATATGTGGCGTGGACATATGAAGACAGCGGCAACACTTTTCACTTTTGTGCCCAATTTTGTGTGTCACTTATAGTGATTGCACACGGTTTTTAATTTTTCATTTTAAGCTGAAAGTTCCCTCTCCTCTTTAGTCCAGAGGACAAGGTACTATAGAATGTCAAATTTTGATTTGTCTGACCACAGAACAGTTTTGCAGACAGCAGCATTTCAGCAATTGCAGCATTTTCAGAAATCAGATTTCTCCAAAGTTTTAGAGCCTTTTGACAATATTATGTACTGTAGATCATGTTATATTAAAAAGTCTTTGTAAGTTTACATTGAGGAACTTGTTTGACAATTGGTAGATGCAGCTTTTCACAGATTGAGGAATCTCTACCCACCTTTATTTCTGAGGCACTCTGGGTTGATCTACTAAAACTGGAGAGTGCAAAATCTGGTGCAGCTGCTCTCTACTTCGTCCTTCTTTACTTCTACCCACTAACTTAATCATTGCCCAGGAGATAAGTACTTAAAAAATAATATTGACACAAATTGTGACGAGATCTCCACTGTACAGATATCTCCATCACCTTACACTCCTTGTCCACCTGCATGGTCAATATTTCCCTTGTTTAACCCAGCTACTATAGAGAAAGTCACTACATTTTTTTCTAACGCCCACCTAACCACCTGTCCCCTGGACACTGTTTCCTTGCAAATACTACGGTCACCCTGTCTCTATCCTATCTTAACTAATATCTTCAATCTCTCCCTTTCAACTGGCATCCTCCCATATCCTCTCAAAAATGCACTAGTTACCCCCATACTTAAAAAGGCCTCATATCAGGACCATATCAGTCTTAACAACCTAATACCCATCTTCTTACTCCCTTTTGCCTCCAAACTCCTTGAACATCTAGTCTACAACCAGCTGAGCTGCTACCTAACCCCTTCAGTTTGCATTTCACCCACAACACTCCACAGTCTCCTAAAACTCACAAACAATTTACTAACAGCTAAAACCAATGGTCACTATTCCTTACTTTTACTCTTGGACATTTGACACAGTTGACCACCCCCTCCTCCTCAAAAAGTTCTATTTCCTTTGTCTCTGTGACTGTACTCTCCGTTGGTTTGCATCTTACCTATCTAACTGCACCTTCAGTGTAGTTTACAACTCTACTTTCTCCTCTTCTATTCCTCTTAACATTGGGATCCCCCAAGGTTTTGTTCTTGGACCTCTCCTATTCTCAATCTACACCTCTTCCCTGGGTCAGCTGATAGCTTTCCATGCTTTCCAATACCATTTCTATGCTGATGACATACAAATCTATCTCTCTACGCCTCAGCTCACCCCATCAATTTCCTCACGTATCACTGATTTATTAGCAGACATATCAAACTGGATGTCACACGACTTCCTAAAACTCAATCTATCCAAAACTGAGCTCATAATATTTCCTCCCCCATGTGCCCCATCCCCTGATTTCTTGGTCAAGATTAATGACACAACTATCAACCTGTTCTCTCATCTCAGGGTGCTAGGGTGTAACCCTGGATTCTGAACTGTCCTTTCAGGCCCACATCTAATCCCTGTCTAAATCATGCCACCCCAACCTCCACAACATCTCCAGAATACGCCCCTTGTTAACCACAAGCCTACAGGGCACTTATACCCCCTTCCTGCCCAGGCCAATTTCCATCTTTCAAAGCTGTTGCACTTTAAATGACAATTGCGCTGTCATGCAACACTGTACCCATATGACATTTTTATCATTTTCTTGTGATAGATAAAGCTTTATTTTGGTGGTAATTAATCAACTCTGGGTTTTTTATATTTTCTTAAACAAACCAAAAGCCACAGAAAATTTTGAAAAAAAAAAAAAGTTTTTTCTTAGTTTTTGTTATAAAATTTAGTAAATAAGTGATTTTTCTCCTTCACTGATGTGCGCTAATGAGGCTGCAGTGATGGGCACTGATAGGCTGCACTGATGGACACTGATAGGTGGCACTGATGGGCACTAATGAGGAGGCACTGGTAGGTGGCACTGATGGGCATTGACAGGCATTACTGATGGGCACTGAAAGGCAGCACTGATATATGGCACTGATAGGCGGCACTGACTGGCACTGTTAGGCGGCACTGACTGGCACGGATAGGCAGCACTAACGGGCACTGATAGGCATCACTGATGGGCACTGATAGACGTCACTGACCGACACTGATAGGTGGCACCGATTGGCAGCACTGATAGGTGGCACTGACTGGTATTGATAGGTGCAACTGACTGGCACTGATGGGTGACACTGAAAGGCAGCTCAGATGGGCACTGATATGTGGCATTGATGTGCACTGGTAGGCACTGATATGTGGCATTGATGTGGCACTGATGGGCACTGGCACGTGGCACTGATGAGCAGTGACAGCTGGCACTGATGAGCACTGACAGGTGGCACTGCATCAGCTACACTGATCATTAGGGCACACTGATCATCAGTGCTCTGATGATCAGTGTACATGTCTCCACAGCGGAATGCTGATTACCGACTTTCCTCTCCTCTCGAGGTGTCAGCGTGACAGCACAAGAGGAGAGAAATGCTGATAACCGGCATTTCCCTGTTTACATGTGATCAGCTGTGATTGGACACAGCTGATCACATGACCGAGTCGACATCTTCGGCTCTTTCCGTGGATCTGTGATCCGCTGTGTCCAAGGGACACAGCGCACCGCCGATCCCTGCGCTGCACGCTCCGGGAGCCTCACTTGCACGGTTAGAATGGGAGGACGTCATATAAAGTCCTCCCAGAACGAGAGAACCACCTTGTGTCCGTCATATTACTATATGGCGGGCGGGGGAGGTGGTTAACCAATGATACCACAAAGCTTCTAATTCACTCCCTGGTTATCTCTTGCCTCAACTACTGCAACTCTGTCCTCATTGGCTTACCTTTACATAGGCTATCTCCCTTCAGTCCATCATGAATGCTGCTGCCAGACTCATCTACCTTGCCAACCATTCAGTGAGTGTCTAGTACCCCTCTTTGCCAATCCCTCCACTGGCTTCAACTCTCCCAATGAATAAAATTCAAAGTAATACCAACAACTTCAAAGCCATCCACAACCTGGTCCCCTGCTACATCTCTAACCTGGTCTCAAAATACCAACCAAACCACTCTCTTCCATCGTCCCAAGACCTCCTGTTCTCTAGTTCCCATGTCACCTCCTCCAATGCTCACCTCCAAGACTTCTCCAGAGCTTTTTCCATCCTATAGAACTCCCTATCCCAATCTGTCCGAGTATCTCCTTATCTATTCACCTTTAGACAAGCCCTGAAAACCCTTCTCTTTAACCTCCCTGGCGGTATGATTATTTCAAATTTTTGGTGCTGAAATCGGTACCATTATTTTGCATGGAAATATGTAGTTTTTTTTATTGTAGGCTGTAATATTTAGGAATAACTCACTGAAATCTGTCCGAACAAGAGTCTATTAAACATCCCGGGTATGATAAAATTTGAAACACAAAATCATAAATTATAATTTAATAAATAATCATAAAAAAATAATAATATAATAATAATACATTTAATTCAATAATATAATCAAACCAAAAACACTGAAATTTGAAATATAGCGCCAAGTTTGCACATCACTGAGCAAAGTCGCAAAATTGTTTTCAGTGTCTGATCCACAAATCATTATCACTCAATTCTGCAAGTAGTTCTGATTTACTATCGCTGTTCTCTAGCTGATCTAAACCCGCTTTTGACCTAAAGGGACACTTTTTGGACGCCATGGACTTTTCTAAGTTTCCAGGCAGAAAGAACAGTCAAAATGCAGGGGACAGGACAAAGCACTAGGGACAAAATGTATGTGAAATGGTTTGAAACAGCAATGTTTTACTATGTAAAATTCGTTTTGAAAAAAATGAAATTTTTTTAAAATTTTCAAACTTCCCGCCGCCGCCGCCCGTACGTCCCGACATCACAGGGACCGGAACACAGAAGCCGGATGCCAGCATCAGCCGGAGGAGATGGCCAGGGATGCTGCAGGGGACACATTGCGGGAGCGAAGGACAAGGTAAGCTCTGCAGGGACTCCCTATGCAGCACCGCATGGTAAGCCCGAGTGTAGCTCGGGGTTACCGCTTTTGGTACAGAAACTTTACCCCGAGCTACACTCGGGAATACCGCCAGGGAGGTTAAAGAAGCTTGTCATGCTTATAACTAATGCACTGTGTTTTTACTTTCTCCATCAGCTCACATCCCATAGTTATTACCCTTTGTATCACTTGACCCTCCCTCTTAGAGTGTAAGCTCTAGCAGGGCCCTCTAATGCCTCTTGCAGCTAATTGTGTTGTAACTATATGTCTGCCTTCATTTTGTAAAGTGCTGTACAAACTGTTGGCGCTATATAAATCCTGTATAATAATAATAATAATAATAAGAGCCAATCAGTTTCTAAGTTCAGTTTGTTCAGTTAAGCTTTGACCAAAAAAAAATGGAAGCTGTTTGGTTTTCATGCACAGCTGCACTAGATTTTGCATTCTCCAGTTTTAGTAAATCAACTGCTCTGCTTCTCTAAGATGTTGTTTTTATATCCAGTCATGTTACTGACCTGTTGCCAGTTAACCTAATTAGTTGCAAAATGTTCTTCCAGCTCTTTCTTTTCAATACCACTTACTTTACCAAATTTTTGTTGCCCTGTCCCAATTTTTTTTTGAGATGTGTTGCTGCCATCAATTTGAATATTACCTTATTTTTTTCTTAAAATGGTACATTTTCTCAGTTTAAACGTTTTATATGTTTTCTATTGTGAATAAAGTATGAGTTTATGAGATTTGCAAATCATTGCATTCTGTTTTTATGTAGATTTTACACCGCCTTCCAACTTTTTTGGAATTGGGGTTGTACAAGAGGGGTTCAGATACAAAACCAGTCAACCTGCGCAAGGAGAGAAAGCAGCAGTGAGTCAGTGCTATGGAATGGAAACCACTCTGCCTTCAACTTGGTGGAGTCCATTACTTATTTATTTTGTCATGTTTATTAGTGAATTTGTGAAAAATGGTCCAATAGACCTCTTACTAAGTCTCCACGGGCAGGGTCCACAGCTCAAACAGAGCTCAGGAGGCCTAAATCCAGCACTGTCCCTCCTAGGGTTAATCAACATGATCCATTGGGGAAGTTGTCTTTAATGCTAGCCTGTATACATTCACTCACCTCTACTTCTATCACCCTGACAATAATTGGCAAGTTGAAATTGAAATGTTTAATTGTAACTTTATATCTTGGATATTTTTTAGATAAACATTATAACTTTAATGTTGGACATTTTTCGTACTCATTGTAAAAGAATTCAGTTCAGGAATGTGTCATACAAAATTAGTTTTGTACGACGGGGTATAGTTATAAAGAATAGAATTTGACATTCACCAAAAATTCACCACACCTTTATGGTTCATGACAGTGATTGATTCACAACCAATGAAAGTTTGCTGCAAGTCACATTCACTGCTTTATAAATATAGCTCTTTTGTGTTGCTGTAGCAATTAAATTTACATTTATTATGATTCTACAATAATAATTTCGGTAACATTTTTCCATGGCATTATCCCTTTGTATTGTAGTCAACCATGTTTCCAATCTTACGTGTCCAGAAATATCCTGACCTTATCATTTTAGTGGAATAGCTACTCCAGACAGTTTTTCCCCCCATGCCGTCAGCTTTTGTTAAGGCTGAGAAAGTATTACAGTTTTAGACTTAGGAACTATTTTACACTTACTGCCCTTGTCTGAATTGCTTTAAGTACAGCTGAAGTTTGATTTAACCTGCTAAAGCTATTGCAGCTTGTGGTTTACTTATGGTGGCAAATGTAATCCTTGAGACAAGACTTAAGAAAGTAAATAATTTATTGTTTGTTCTACAGGAGATGGTTTTTGTCTCTAACAAGATAAATGTACTTTTATCTGAGATTCACGGTCAAAAGAACTATACTTTGTACCAATCTGCAATTAGATCCCATTAGTATGTCTGAAATCTAAAGTGTTTCCTTCATTCTTCAGGTCTGCATGCTGCTTCTGTACTTTGTACATGAACTATAGCTTGTGACATTGTTGTCCATGAGTGTACCTAGTCTTTGGGAAAAGAGGAGGCTGTCATTGTGTTGCACTGGACAACAGTCAGCACAATCCAGGCCAACGCTTCCTGCATAGTTCTGGCATGTCGTATTCAGTAGAAGCTCATGAGGCAGGAAGCAGCAGTGTTGAAGCCTGGAAAGCTGTTGTCAGGTTAGTAAGCATTGAAGCTCCCACTCACTGATGACCAACATTTAAGATGGCAGTCACCACTGACCACCAGCATTTAAAGAGCAACCACTCTGACCACCCACAGAAAGGTGGACCAAACCCCTTTGCACCAATGAGCGGCAGTGCGAGGCAGTGCTTATGGCCGCTACATACCAAAGTCTGTGCTGTATATTACATTGGATGTCCCAGATTTAGCAATGGCCCCAATGCAGTTGGTGCAAACAGACAGTACCTGTAATTCTTTCCTTTTACCTTACACATTTGTGCAAACGTTTACAGCCATTTCAGTTATAACATTTTATTTTAAGCTTTATGTCTGATCAATATCTAGTTATTATCATTTATATAAATAAAAAGATAATACAATAATACTGGTTGCAACACATATGATAAAACTTGATAATGACTGTCCATTATGGGTAGTGTAATTCATTTCCAAATCCTTTGGGCTATGAGTTAATTAACTATGCAAATGATCATAAAGTCCCATTTACTGTACTAAACAGCATGCACTGAACCATCTAATAACATGCATACTACCATAAATGCTAAAATGAGAGACGCCATTGTAAACCTATAGAAAATTTTATCTATACCTAGAGATGAGGTGGGAAAATAAATTGCAGTAACCAATCCAAAATGGGCAGTTTTTCCATGAACAATACAGTTCTGTCACTTAGAAAGCATTTCTTTTCTTTCTTTTGTTTCCCTATCTTATCAGTTATTTTCTCATATGTAAATATGAAATATTGCACATTATTTATTTGTATTCCTCTTTTGAGCCAGCAGGTGGAACTTTAGACAGTGTTTTACATTTTTCTGTTTCTCGCTACCTCTACCTGTTTTTCAGGCTCCATTCACATCTGCATTTAGCGTTTTTGTGCAATTTTTGAGCATATTTTACCATACTTTTTTACCATTTTTGGTGTGTTTGCACGTTTTCATACAGCGTTTTTTAGCTGTTTTTGAGCTTTGGCATTTTTTTTGTGTTAGCCAATAGAGAAACATGTCATCTAAAGCATCATTTGTTGCTAGGTTTTTCTGCTTTTTTAGCTTTTTTGTCAGCTTTTCTTTCTTTTTTTTTTTTTTTATTATTATTCAATTATTATAATTTTGTTTTTGGTTAGGGTTACACCCCGTACCCTAACATATAGTTAAGGTTAGGTTAGGGTTAGGATTAGGGGTTAGGGTTTGGGATTAATATTTTATTTAATATTTTCTTAGTATTTATTTTTGATTATTTTTTGTAGGGTAGGGTGTTAAAATATAAATAAAATATTAATAAATACATGTAAAATGAATACACAAATAAATAAAATTAATCATTAACAAATATTATGAAATAATAAATAAATAATAATTAACCCC